ATTAGGTCGTGTACGTGAAAATGAACTTCTTTTTTTTCCAAAATTAGTTACCGAATCAAAAACTAATCACTTCTGTCCTAAGAACCCCCACACCTCCTCCAGGAAGTCATTGACTTGACTTTCCTTTTTCATTTAAAAACATCTTTTCTTTCTGTGTCTTATACCTTTATAAATCTTATTGTTTTAACTCATTTTGTTTTATTTTTATTTTAATATACTATAAATATTTATAGTATATTAAATATTTATAGAGTTTATACAATATATAATTTTAATATAAATATTAATATTTATGAAATAAAATTATTCTTTATTAAATGAAAATTTGGGCTAAGGTATTTGGAGAGGAGAGAGTTTATTTCAAAGCTTATTTTATTTTATTTTATTTATTTATTTTTTAAAGATTTTATTCATGAGAGAGAGAGAGAGAGAGAGGCAGAGGGAGAAGCAGGCTCCCAGGGAGCAGGAAGCCTGATGCGGGACTCGATCCCAGGACGCTGGGATCATGACCTGAGCCGAAGGCAGACGCTTAACCATCTGCGCCACCCAGGCGCCCTCAAAGCTTATTTTAAGATTTTTTATTTTATTTATTTGACAGAGAGAGAGATAGCGAGAGAGGGAACACAAGCAGGGGGAGTGGGAGAGGGAGAAGCAGGCTTCCCGCTGAGGAGGAAGTCCTCAAAGCTTATTTTAAAGCTTAGTTTCTAAGTGGTGTTACATAAAGGAAATTTCTCTGTACTTGAATTTTCATTTAATTTTGCATGCCTTAGCATTTTTCAGATGAATAAATTGAGTCCTAGAGCTTTTGAGTGTCTTAACCAAGATCATATAGCTATTTAGTGGAGGGATGAGGCAGAAATCAGCTCTTTTACTTTGTATTCCAGTGTTCATTCTACCACATTAGACTTCTCTCCTACATTTTACCAGTTCTGTGATTACTTTGACAACAGGCTTGCATGGTGTCTCTCCATGGTATTAGAAGTGTACAAAATGCCCTCTCACTTGTTTTAACCATTTTAAGGGACTTCTTGCTGTTTTGTTTCCTTTCCTCCCTGTAAACTGGAAAATACATATTCTTGCAGACCCTTTAAAAAAATTTTTAAGGGCGCCTGGGTGGCTCAGTCGGTTAAGTGTCTGCATTCGGCTCGGGTCATGATCCCAGGGTCTTGAGATCGAGCCCGCATCGGGCTCCTTGCTCAGCGGGGAGCCTGCTTCTCCCTCTTCCTCTGCCTGCCACTCCCCCTGCTTGTGCTCTCTCTCTCTCTCTCTCTCTCTGTATCAAATAAATAAATAAAATCTTTAAAAAAAAAAAATTTTTTTTTTTTTTAGGGGCGCCTGGGTGGCTCAGTCGGTTAAGCGCCTGTCTTTGGCTCAGGTCACGATCCCAGGGTCCTGGGATGGAGCATCATGTCCTGCTCTCTGCTCAGCGGGGAGTCTGCTTCTTCCTCTCCCTCTGCCCCTCCCTCTGCTTGTGCGCGCTCTCTCTCTCTCTAATAAATAAAATCTTAAAAATGTTTTTTTTTTTTTAAAAACAAGCAGTCAAAAAGCAAAAATTCAATATGTCATCTTTTATTTATGGTAATTTACTTTTTGGAAAGCTTTTCAATTCATAAATCCCAACGGTTTACCTCCCAGCATCCCATAAATTACCTCACTAAAACTCAAGTAAGCTATTGGTTGTGGAAGTAATGTCATGCAATCAAAAGTACGTTAGAAGTGTAGATAGCACCTCTCAATTAGTTTCATGTTGGTGGAGACTATGTTTGAGTCTGTTTTTCCTGCAGGTATAGTTTGGGATATTCAAGTTGGAGGAGCTATTAGAAATCAGCTCTAATTTTAATATGTGAAGAAACTGATTTTATATATGAAGAAACTGATAGTAGCAAAATTGGGTCTGCAAACCAGGATTCTGGAATTGGTTATAAATACATACACCATGTCTTTAAAAAAATTTATTTTGAAGTAGTTGTAGCATCATAGGAAGATATTTTATTTTTCTTCTAATTATTAAAAGTCAGATTTATGGGACACCTGGGTGGCTCAGTTGGTTAAGTGTCTACCTTCGGCTCGGGTCATGATCCCAGGGTTCTGGGATCGAGTTCCGCATCAGGCTCCTGGCTCAGCGGGGAGCCTGCTTTTCCCTCTGCCTGCCACTGTCCTTGCTTGTGCTCACTCTCTGACATAATAAATAAATAAAATCTTAAAAAAAAATAAAAGATTTAGCTTAATTTTTCAAAAGATGAAAATAATTCATAAGGTTTGCCATTTGAAATACAAAAAGAATATTTTGTAACAAATCAGATAATACAGATTTTTATAAAATAAAATTAATTTGAAAAATAAAATCTTCTACTTACCTCCATTTTGTCTTTTTTGATAAGGTAACATTTTGGTGTATAACCTTTTATGTGCTTTATTTTCTTAGAGAAACAAATCAAATATATATACATACAGGGTATATATATTTATGTGGAAATAATTGTCTATGTTAGTCTCCAGCTTGATTTATTTATTTATTTTTAAAGATTTATTTATTTGTCAGAAAGAGTGAGAGCACAAGCAGGGGGAGTGGCAGGCAGAGGGAGAAGCAGGCCCCCCACTGAGCAGGGAGCCCAATTCGGGACTCGATCCCAGGACCCTGGGATCATGACCTGAGCTGAAGGCAGATGCTTAACCAACTGAGCCACCCAGGCATCTCCAGCTTGATTTATTTTTTAATTTTTAATATATTTTTAAGATTTTATTTATTTATTTGAAAGAAGAGTGCAAGTGGTGGGGGGTGCGGAGGAGGAGCAGAGGGAGAGGGCCAAGCGGACTCCGCACTAATTGGGGAGCCCATTGCAGGGTTCGATCCCACGACCTGGAGATGACAACCTGAGCCAAAATCAAGAATCAGATGCTTAACTGACTTAGCCACCCAGGCGCCCCTCCAGCTTGCTTTAAGACAAACCAAAACCAAAACCAAAAACCCAACAACTTTATAATAGACATCTTCTGATTCAAGACATCAGTTTATGGCTATAATATTATTTAGTTAATGATTTCCCAACTGATGGACAGTTACTTTGCAGTTTTCTGCTCTAGGAACAGTGCTGCCAAACAGAGCAAAGTACTTGGTCCACCGGTGTATTTATGTGGGATAGATTCTATAAAGTGGTATAAAGGCATGGTTAACAGCACAGATTCAGGGGCTGAGACTTGCTGGAATGAATCCAGGCTGCACCACTTAAGAGCCAGGCAGCTTAAGGCAAGGTACTTTTTGTGCTCTTATTTTCTCTGAAAGAGGAACTTAGATCAGTGATAATCTTTACTTTCTGGGGAGACTAACTTCTTTGATAAGCTAATGGGGAAAATATGCTCTCTCAACTATTTACTAACCAGAGAGGTTGATCATCTTTTCATATGTTGTAATTATTTGTAATTCTGGGAATTACTCGTCGTCTTCTGTTCTCATTTTGTTTGACTTAATTGCCTTTTTAAAATTGCTTTGTGAGATTTGTTTATATACTCTGGACCCTAACTCTTCATTATATATAGTGAATATATCCTTTACTCTGTTGCTTGCCTTTAATTTTGTGTTTTCTTCTTTCCACATTACTAAGTTGACCATATCTTTCTTTTTTTTTTTTTAAGATTTTTATTTATTTATTTGACAGAGAGAGACACAGCGAGAGAGGGAACACAAACAGGGGGAGAGGGAGAAGCAGACTTCCCGCTGAGCAGGGAGCCCGATGTGGGGCTCGATCCTAGGACCCTGGGATCATGACCTGAGCCGAAGGCAGACGCTTAACGACTGAGCCACCCAGGCGCCCCTGACCATATCTTTCTATGTAGATCTGTCTTTAAAGTAGATAGACCAGAATTTTATTATTGCTTATAAACTGTTCTATCCTTACCATATTGACTTGTGAATGTCACTGTTACTAAATATTAAAATCTCATAAATTCATGGTTCTGTTTCTAGAGTATTTAGGTTCTTTAATCTTTTGTCTAGTTTTGTACCCGTCAAATTTAAAATTACTCTAGCTTTGTAACAGTTCAATATCTGATAGCACAAATTCCCACATTTCCCCCCCCCAGAAGTTTTAAAGCAGTTTGTATGCATTTACTCTTTTTTATAAACTTTAGAATCAGTTTGTTGAATTATGTTAAAAAAAAAACAAACCTGTTATTTTGATAGAGATTGCATTGACTTATATTTTGGAGGCTAAAATAGTGATTTCAACATAATGTTATAATTTACCATTGACTTTACTAAATTGTTACATAAAGATTTTCAACTCCCCATAATCTAAAATAAATTATTTAATTTTTCAAAACACTTTGGAGTATGGAATCTTTTTGGTTTCTTCCCCCTTCCTTTTTTTGTAGGATTTTGTACCATTACCGTAGAAATACTTTTTTTGTTTTATATGTGCTTATTTTACCAGAAGTTTTCACTGGCATAATAATACGTATTTGATTGTAAACCATTGGGTTCTATGGCATGTTTTTTCAGTTCTAGTCTTTTTCTGTGGTAAAGGTTTGATATTAACATGTAATTATAGATGACTGAAGCCTTTTCTATTTCATTAGGTTTATTTTGTAAACACATTTATTTTCTGACATATTTTAGAATTCTGTAATACTCCTTTAGTTATATGGCAGCATTACTAGCTTTTAGGTCAAAGATGAGACAGTGTAGAGTGTGTTTTAAGGCTGTATGTTATTTATTTCCCTAAAATGTGCTATGATTAGGTACTAGGTTAGTATTAAATGTTTTATGTAGAAAGGCGGAAGTTCTTTCGTCTTCCTCTTGAATCCAAAAGATTAGTAATGCTAGACTTTTTATTTTGACATTCAAAACAACTTCAGAATTCTATTCTGAAATCTCATCTGAGATGATAGCAAAATTTGTTTGATTAATGTTTTAACAAATTTTTTGTTAATATGGTTCCAGATGGTTGAAATGCCATTTTTTCCCCAGTAGTAAACAGTATACTTTGTTTCTTCTCATGCAGGTCTTTGAAGTTCTACAGTTTAGTTCTCAGTGCTGAACTTCCTTCTCCCTTAAGTTATTATAAACTTTTGCTGCTGTTTAATAAACGTGAAGATGTCTCGCAGTCCTGATGCGAAGGAAGACCCTGTGGAATGTCCTCTTTGCATGGAGCCCTTGGAGATAGATGATATCAACTTTTTTCCTTGCACCTGTGGCTATCAGATTTGCCGATTTTGTTGGCATCGAATTCGCACTGATGAAAATGGGCTTTGTCCTGCATGTAGAAAGGTAAATACTCCAAAGTAACTTTGTGTACAGTTTTTTTGCCCCATGCATATGAGTAAGTAGATTTAAAAGAATCTACAAACCTCAGGTGATTTTATGTGTAACATTATATTTTTAAGATAATAATGAAGTAGAAAAACACTATATGACCTTGGTAAAGTCATATAACCTCTCTGGTTAACCTTTAGCTTTCTAATCTGGAGAAATTCATAAGATCAGTGGTGCTGGATATTTAAGAGAAATAGGAGTAGAGAGGCTGTGGATTTAGATAGGATGGTATGAAATTGGAAAAACACATTCAGCTGGGAGGAAATTCACTTTAATTTTCTAGTACAAAATAGGGGAAAAGTTTTGACATTTACTAAAAGAGGTTATGTGTTAAAATGACAGAAATCCTGCTTCAGAAGGTAATGGTTACTCATTTGTTGAGTCTTTACAATAACTCCAGGCTGTAATGCTATCCCCAATGTACATTGAAACTAGGCCTTTCAAGTAACTTGTCCACAGGCATCAGCTAGTGGATAGTACGTTTGGGATTCAAATATAAATCTTTTGAGTCTTTTCTAGCTCTAAATAGTTCTATGATTTTTAATATTCCTGGGTCTCATTTAAATAAGCATCTACATATCTATAATATCTATATCTATATATCTATAATTATATGTAATCTATAATTACATATCTATAATATGTAATAGATATTTATAATGTATATATAATATATCTTTTTGTATAGTTAATGTATTTTAGGGATGTGAATGAAAAGCAAAGGAAAACCTTAATATTAGCTTTGGTCAAAATTTGTAATAAATTTGTGTTAGTGGATTTTAAGCATTCAGTCATATTTTAAAAAGTGGTTCCTGGTCATTCCACAAGAAGACAATTGTATTGAACTGTTCTGTTGAAAGTGGTAATTTTTAGTATAGCCCAAGACTATAAAGCTTGTGACGTCATTTGACTTCTTAACTTTATCTCTTTTTTTCTTTGGGTGTGCTATGAAAAGAAATCTTAATAAAAAGACCACTTGTTAAATAGTCATTAGAGAAAAATCAATTATTTGGGGAAATGGCAGAAAAATTCACTTAACTTTTAGGGGTTTACCTAGAATCACTTTAAATTCTTAGAAAGTAGAGAAAAAAGTAGAAAAATTTTAAGGATAAAGCAAAATAATTTTAGCAGAGCTGGTTATCAATAAAAGTGTGCCTTTCTGGGAGGATAAGCAAGTGTGAAGAATCGGAAAAACAGTAGGCCATTGGGATCAATTTAAAGAAAGAAGCATTAGTTCAAACATACTCAGGATAAGGCTGCTGAGAAAAGGTAAGAGTAGTGGTGCTTTTAAAAAAGATCCTAAGGAAAGTATCTGTGTGGTTGCCTGAGTGTTGCATTGGAGCAAGATATGGGTCCAACCTAACTTTTATACCATGTAGCAGAGACAGATGCTCTCTAGCTGCAACACTGATTATAAATTTGGGTCAGAGCCTTAAGGTGGATGGAGATACCCTGGAGGAACTAAGACCTCCTGTGCTCAGAAGATGAATTATTGATATACTCTGTCCACCAGTTTGTCCTCCTTGCAGTCACAAAAGAGCATCCTGCAGTAAACAGAAATAGCATTTATAGACTGGTTGACAGAGTTCTTACATGTAAAAATGTGTAAGAACCAAGAATTAACAGACATTTCAGGAATACCAACATCAGTACCAAAAATCAGTAAATAAAAGAACCTAACATAAGTAAGCAAACAAACATTTAAAAGGGTCATTGGTGCTTCTCAAACAAATAAAAGAGAATGGCATATCTATATAGAAGGAACATTTTTTAAAGAGCAGATTAGAGATCTTGCAAATGAATAATCTTATGGGTGGGCTGAAGAATGAATGAACAAAGTTTAAGAACAAATTAATAAGTTGGAAGATTTTGCTGAGTATTTTTTTTTTTTGCAGCATATAGTACAAAAATATTTTTAAAAAGCATGAAAGAGAAGTTAAGCAGCATAAAAGATCTGGTTCTAATCTGCTAAGAGAATTTACAGAAGCAGTGAAATAAGAATGGGTGGGAAGGAATAAAGAACCACTAGAAGGAAATTTCATGTGAAAAGCAGTTGTCCTTAGAAGGGCTGTGTGAGTAGGAGACAAGATGACTGAAAAATATCAACATCTATTAATAGAATTGTAAAATTTTAGAGTATCGAGAATAAAGACAAAGTTCTCAAAGCTTATGGGAGAAAAATGCAGAGACTACAAAGGAACAAGAATAAAACTGATACTGGTGTTTTTGTTCTATAACGATGGAAAAGAAAATAATTGAGAAATTTGTTTTTCCAAATTTTTGAGGGTAAATGACTTGAATTCTCAATTTTATTCACATGTAAAAGCATAATAAAATATTTTCCAGACATAAAAAGATTCATAAGGTTTAATATCCACTATACAGGACAAGTAGAAGAGTTGGTGAGTGTGTAAGGGAAGTAAAGAATGGCCATTGACTGAGATGGGGAAGACCTCAGTAGGGACAGGTTTTTGAGAAGATCAGGAACTCCGTTTTAGACATGTTAAGTTTGAGATTCCTATTAGAAATCTAAATGGAGAAATTAGTTAGGTGAATATTCAAATTTGGTTCTGGTATGGAAATATAAATTTGAGAGTTATATAACATATACAATGTTATTTATAAAGTAATACTGGATGAGATCACAAGAGCGGGTCAATAGAAAAGATGAGAGATTGTCTAAGGATGGGCACCAAAGCTCTCCAACATTTATAGAAAGAAAAAAATCTATATTAAATAATTATGAGACAACCTCCTTTAGGGTTTCTAAGTTATAATCTTTAGCTGCGGTCTTTACTGTTAAGTCAGACCGGGAGGATTTTTTTTGTTTTCTTGTTGACTTAATATAACTACAACTGCTAGAACTTCTGCTTGGTCTGTGACTACTCGACCTTGCTCCTGCTTGTCTCATGGCTGTTGTGGGTCATGGACAGTAGACGGTGCTGACCACACAGAGTCTTGGCTTAGCCTTGCCAGAGAGTGTGCTGAGCACACTTAGCACATGTAGTTATGAAGCTGCCTGTCTTAGTCAGGGACCAGCAAATCTTTACATCTCTGGAGACCAGCCTCAGTGGTTGTGTTAACACAGGAGGACCTCAAGTGTTGCCCGATGCCTGGAGAAGGCCATGAAGCTGCCATCTACACATAGCCCAGCCCTGCTGGAAGATGGCCTGTAGAGGCCACTCTGAAATGGCAAATCAAGATGATTTAAGTAAACTTGGAGATGCAGGTGGGGAGTTGGTTGAAGCAAGCCCTGGTTGGGGTGCACAAATGAAACCTGCTTGTTTACGTAAAGGGCCTCTTTGCTTTAGTGTTTTGAGAAGCAGAGAGTGGGCAGGTTTTACAAACCAAGAGAGTTTAATGTTTCTCTTTGGTCCTAGTTGCCATGCCTAAAAGGATCAAAAAGACCTTCCGTGTTTCCCTAAACTAAGGCATAGGCTACCTGGTCATTCCTTAGACTGTCTTTGTATGTTCTTTTAGTGCAGCATTTCTGAGAAAAATACCTGGTGGAAACAGCAGATGTGGGAACACAGGTAGTGTACTGATGTAGCATCATACAATGTTGACTCATGTGGAAGCCAGACAGGCCAAAGAGATGAAAACTCTGACAAAGTTACTGTTACTTTCATCTCAGAAGTAACAGAGGATATTGCATTCATGAAACAAGAACAGGGTAGTCTAAAAAAAATTCAGTGAAGGATAAACACTGTTAATAATAATTAAAATATAGCAGAAATAACAAGGAAAGAGTTGGGAGATGAATTTGAGAAAATTTCTTAAAAAGTAGTGCAAAAAGACAAAGGAGATATTCTTATTTGATAAATATTCTTATTTGAGAGAAGAGATAACTTTATTTGAGGATCAATGCAGGAGGTCAAATACTAAATAAGTTAGTGTTCTAGAAATAGACCACAGTAATATAGAAGGAAAGTTATTTCAGAAATATGATTGAAGAATATTCCCAAGACCAAAGGATATATTTCCAGATTAAAAAGGCCTATTGAGTGCCAGGCACAAACTATTTTTAAACAGAAAACTGAAAACAAAGAAGTTCTACAAGCTTCCAAAGAGGAAAAAAGTAGGCTACAAATGAAGATCAGGCATCGGAATCATTTCAGAATTCTCAAAAGCAAGACTTGAAGCTTGAAGATATTTCGGAAGGAAATTTATTTTCATCCTGGAACTCCATATCTTCCTGTTAAGTGTGAAGGTACATGAAAAGACCTTTTCAGACGTGAAAGATCTCGAATTTTTTTTTTTATGTTCCGTGCATTCTCTCTCAGGAATCTACTGCAGAATATGCCCCTCACATGAAGGAATGAAGAAAAGAGAATACATGTGATAAAGGAAAGAGGTGACCAAGTACGGGAGTGATGCAGTGGGATTCCTAAGATGATGGGAAAGAGGACAACCAGTACAGAATGTGGCAGATCAGAAAGTTGCAAGAGAAGGGTTTCTACAAAAAGATAAAATTGAGAGAATACTTGGTGTTTTAAAAGAGAATTGTGGGGGCGCCTGGGTGGCTCAGTTGGTTAAGTGACTGCCTTCGGCTCAGGTCATGATCCTGGAGTCCCTGGATCGAGTCCCGCATCGGGCTCCCTGCTCAGCAGGGAGCCTGCTTCTCCCTCTGACCCTCCCCCCTCTCTCATGTGCTCTCTCTCTCTCTCTCATTCTCTCTGTCTCAAATAAATAAAAATAAAAAATAAATAAAATAAAAGAGAATTGTGTTGTGAGGCCATTTCAACATTTGGAGGAGATTTGATGGTTTAATCTAATCAGACAGTTAACTCTAGGGGAAACAAAAAGCTGTACAAGAAAAGTAATCATATTATGCTTCAATGGCTCAGATATGTTGTAGGGGTTGAGATTTTTTTCCCCCCATACAGATATATTGTTACAGCATCATTTGTAGAAAAGACTATTTCTTCACTGTTGAATGGTTTTCAACTCTTTCT